TGTATGGTAGAGTGGCCAGACGGAAGACACTCTCGTCTGGAATTTGCCAAAAGGCATCTGAAATACATTCAAGCCGCCTTTCCACTGCACACGACATTTAGACACGACTGTCAGAATACGCCCCCTTGTGGCAGCCGCACAGTATTTTCAGTGTTGTCGTGCACCACGGGGGAGAAGCTGATTCTCACGGTGTAATAAAGGAGAGCAAAAGCAAGAGCCTTTATTCTCTGTGCGTTTACAGTTTAAAGGATGAATGATGAATACTAGAAACTCATCGACCGCTAAAATATTGGAGGGAATGTGGAGACAACATGAAAAATATTTTTTTATTACTTTCTTACTTACATTTATGAACAGTTTTAATATACATTTATAATATAGACTTTTTATAATTAAAAAAATAACCAAATAAACTCCTATTTCTCATCTCTCGCGCACGGATCTGCATGGACAAAACTGGAATACATCATTTCGGTCGGCCGGTCACATACGGTCTAGTCGCAAGAGTTCAAATATTTCAACGGATCCGCAGCTTAATTCGGATCCGAATGTTCCCGCATACGGACATGATCGGAACACAACGCAGCTCCCGGACTGCTCTCTATTGGAAATGAATGACGTTTGCTGTGTGCAGTGGAAAGGCGGCTTCAGACCTTAAGAAACTAAACTCTCTGCTCTGATGAGACTCAAATTGAACTGTTTGGAGTGAACGCCAGGCGTTACATTTTGAGAAAACCCGGCAGCGCTCATCACCAGGCTAATAGCATCCCTACAGTGAAGCACGGTGGTGGCAGCATCATGCTGTGGGGATGTTTTTCAGCAGCAGGAACTGGAAGACTAGTCAGGATAGAGGGAAAGATGAATGCAGCAATGTACAGAGACATCCTGAATGAAGACCTGCACAAGAGCGCTCTTAACCTCAGACTGAGGCGACGGTTCATCTTCCAGCAGGACAATGACCCAAAGCACACTGCCAAATATCAATAGAGTGGCTTCACAACAACTCAGTGAATGTACTTGAGTGGCCCAGCCAGAGCCCAGACCTAAATCCTATTGAACATCTCTGGAGAGATCTGAAAATGGCTGTAGGCCTTCGCTTCCCATCCAACCTGATAGAGCTTGAGAGGTGCTGCAAAGAGGAATGGGCAAAAATTCCCCAAAGACAGGTGTGCCAAGCTTGTGGCATTATATTCAAAAAGGCTTGAGGCTGTAACCGCTGCCAAAGGTGCATCAACAAAGTATTGAGCAAAGGCTGTGAATACTGATGTACATCTGATTTTACAGCTCCTTTATTTGTAATGAATTTGCAACAATTTCCAAAACTTTTTCTTCACATTGTCATTATGGGGGATTGTGTGTAGAATGTTGAGAAAATCAATGAATTTAATCTATTTTGGAATAAAAGTGTAACATAAATAAATGTGGAAAAATTAAAGCGCTTTCAATACTTTCCAGATGCACTGCATTTATGAAACTGTTCCTCTCTGGTTAATTTTACTGTATTGTGTTTTTGAACAAGAAAAAGAGGAGGAAGAGCGGACTTGTGAAACTCCTGTCAGATAAGAACAACAAACTGAAGCTGAAATTCAGACCAAACACCAAAACTGGCTGTTCTGCATGTTAAAAAGCAAATAGATGCATAGAAATACAGACTGAAACCATCAATGCATTTCTGCGACTTGATCTACTGCAAACACTTATGAGATGACGGTATATTACCTCCATAAAGGGAAGACTAGCATTTATTATAGTCTACTCAAGGACACAATTACAAAAGTGCTTTTTGTTTTGTTTTTTCCTATTGACAACATTTCAAAATGCCAAGGTCAAAGCCACGAGAGTCACGCAAGCGATTGTCCGCAGTCACTTCCATCACTGATCCACGCACTTGAGCAGAAACAATGAGGATCTCTTGAGCTGAGGACGGAGTCTTGCATATCCTGCTTGCACATGAACACACTATTTGACTTAAGGGCAGAACTATTGACTTCGTGACAAGGCCGGTGATGAATACAGACACACATATAGGTACTGCTGTAGGGCAGAGTCGCTTTGTTTATGGTGTCGATCATAATCCCCAAATTAGCATGACAACACTTTCATTTGTAAAAGGAATAAACATATCAAACAGTTTTTATGTTTCTGATAGAGAAGCAAAACTAGCAGATTTAATAAAGTAACACTACATGCAGATAAACTCCATCTGGATGTGCCTAACGAGTAATAGTACTGTATATGCTGTATGTTTAAGTAAATTGAAACAACCTTTCCTCCATTCCACTAAGAGACACCAGGAGTTTTTCGGGGGCCGCTAAACACTTTAGAGGCAGCTAAAACCGTATTCATTTTGATATCTTCAGTTTTTTTTTAAACAGAGGCTTGGAAAAGGCTGTTTTACTTTTTTCCTACTGTTAGTGTAACTTTTACTGCCAACTACCAAATTATTATAAATGATAACAATTTATGATCACACAGACAAGAGAAACTATAAGTTTCTTTATTTTTTATTTAAATCACCGACAAACCTATTTAACTCACTTGATTAAATTAATTATTTAACTTACTTATTTAACTTATTTATCTTATTTAACTTAATTAACTTACCCATTTAACTTATTTAATTTAAATAACTAACCTATTTAACTTAATTAACTCACTCATTTAACTTACTTATTTAACTTAATTAACTTATTTAACTTACTCATTTAACTTACTTTACTAACCTAATTAACTTATATAAATGATTTGACTCACTTATTTAACCTAATTACTTAACTAACTTAATTAACTTACTTGTTTAATTTACCTTATTCAATATACCTTAATTCACTTTTTTAAAAACTTATTTATTTAACTTAATAAACTAACTTATTTAACTTAACTTATTTACCTAACTTAATTAGCTTACTTGTTTAACTTATTTAATTGACTTATTTAACTTATTCAACTTAACTAACTTATTAAACTTAGTTAGCTTGCTTATTAAACTTAATTAACAAACTTATTGAACTTAATTAACTTATTTATCTAATTTAAGTAACTTACTTAATTTGTTTAACTTAAATTTAAAGCTTATTTATTTAACTGAATTAACTTTTTTAACTTAACTTATTTTTCTGACTTATTTAACTAACTTATTTAACTTAACTAACTTATTTAAAGCTTATTTATTTAACCGAATTAACTAACTTATTTAATAACAATTAACTATTTAAACTTATTTTTCTGACTTATTTAACTTAACTAACTTATTTAAAGCTTATTTATTTAACTGAATTAATTAACTTATTTAATAACTTAATTAACTTTTTTAACTTAACTTATTTTTCTGACTTATTTAACTAAGTTATTTAACTTAACTAACTTATTTAAAGCTTATTTATTTAACTGAATTAACTAACTTATTTAACTAACTTAATTAACTTTTTAAACTTAACTTATTTTTCTGACTTATTTAACTAACTTATTTAACTTAACTAACTTATTTAAAACTTATTTATTTAACTGAATTAACTAACTTATTTAACTAAGTAATTTTAAACTTATTTATTTTATTTAATGTATTTATTTAACTTAACTTTTTAAACTTATTTTAAACTTGCTTAATTAACCTACTTAACTTATTTCTCTTATTTATGTAGAAACGTGTATAATGTGTAGGAAATGTCTTTGTAGACATTTACTTTGAATTGTGTGTCAAACGTCTGTTAAAACCTTTGCATGAAATCAAAATTGACAGTTTGTTGTTTTAGCAGAGCACATTGTTAGTCTTAAAATTAATCAGCTGGGGGGGTCGTGCTTTACCATTACTTAGCAAAATATTGTTTGTAAGCAAGTATAGTTTATGCAAGAGAAACGGAATTAGGCGCACAATGAAAAGATGGTCTTATCAGTTTGCAAGTTTTCCTTTCCAGTGTAAATGAGATTAGAACTGCGTTGCATTATTAGATAGTTTACCTGAAATTACAAATTTTCTCACTCTCAAACTTGTATGAAACACTTTCTCCAGCCATTCATTGCAGAAACAAAAATACTATGGAAGTCAATAGCCCCTTTCACACAGTGATACCGGTAAATATCCGGATAATTTCCGGAACGACTTTACCGGCATATTAAAAAAAGCGCTGTTCACACAGGCGAGGACGTTACGGAATTTTCTAGAAAAGGCCGTTCACACATCCATTCCAAAATACCGGTAAATTCTGACATCATTCACCAGAAATGAGCTTTAAACGGCTGCGCTTGTATTTGTAAACATTTGACTGAATTACAAACTCTGTGGATGATCAATATTGTGAACAACTTTCGCAGGATCACTTTCGCATGACGAGATGTACATAATATGTGCGTGTGCAGGCGCTCACAGGCTGTTTCACAGGCACACGCAAAGCTTGAAGGTAAACAAACAACGGCTTATCATAAGCATCTCATCGATGATTATTTACACAGTTGGCATTAAGAAGAACATATAAACGTGATCTGACTAACTTCTAGCAGCTAAATGTGTCTGGAAAAATATTCAAAGGCTTTTATTCTCATAAACCGCGCGGACGTAAATGCGTCTGACTGTTGTGATTGGCTAAGGCAGATGTCTCACGTCAGCACGTTCTAGACGTGCACCCGCTCTTTCCGGCAATCTTCCTTCTGCATTCACACAGCGCAGCATTCCGGCAAATTACCGGTAATGTTACAACTTCTCTTTCGGGAAAATAGCCAGAACGAATTTACCGGTATTTTCAAAAAGGGCCTGTTCACACATACAACCTTTCCGGAAAATTGCTGGTAATTTTCCGGAAAGGTCTGTATGTGTGAAAGGGGCTAATGACTGTTTCCCCCTGGACTCTTCAGTATGTCTTCCTTTGTGTTCAACAGAAGAAAGCAAATCAAACAAGTTTGCGACAAGTGGAGGATGAGGAAATTATTTCATCCTGATTTTTGACCGTCTCTTTGACACACATTGATTTAAATAAATGTATTGCACCAAATATTGATGTACATACATGGTGTTTTTGTGGGAGCTGGGCGTAACGGGTCGCTGGAGGGGCTCGTCGATGCTGCGAGATGATGGAGGACATGATCTTCTCTTCGTCTTCATCATGTTGGTCATGATCTAAAATAAGCACCACAGAGAAAACATATCACACAGAATCAACAGAACATCCCTCCAATAGAAATCACAGGAATAAATCTCAGGGAATAATCTACATCAGGGGTCACCAACCCTGTTCCTGGAGAGCTTCCTTCCTGCACATTTTAATTGCAACCCTGACCAAACACACCTGTTTGTAATTATCAAGTGCTGCTTTAGGTACTATTAATTGGCTCAGGTGTGTTTGATCAGGGTTGGGACTGAATTCTGCAGGAAGGTAGCTCTCCAGGAACAGGGTTGGTGACCCCTGATCTACATCATATCAGTAGATTTCAAAAGTGACATAAGGGAATATTAGAGAAACATAGGTGGCTACTAAACATTTTATTTTCTCTGACAGGGGTTCCCAAAATTTTCAGCCAGCGACCCCCAAAATGACAATGCCAGTAACTCGCGACCCCCAATTTCCTCTCAGGTTGTTATATATACAGTGGTTATTAATGCAATGACACACACACACAATAATAGACCAACCCAAGCTCATTCGGGAAACGTAGCCCCGAGGACGTTTCTGGAGACCGCGATTTACGTGGCCGGAGGTACGTAAAGGCTGTGTTTGGTTTTTTTCGAGCGAACGCTCCGCCCCTCCTCTTCGCGCTCGCCGGCAGACGGCTCGCCTCCGAGTGGAGGGCTTTCCCGACGCAATCAGTTTGTCCGCTTAGCTCACAGCGTTGCGTCGGTGGAGCGGAGGCCCCGGAGGAGGAGGAGCCGGCCGCGGTGGATGACGACCGGGATCGAGTCCGGGGAACGGCAGGTTCCTGAAATCAGGTAAGACGAAAAACGGAATCCGGAAAATAAGGGCGAGAACGCGGCGGGATCCGAAAACGCGGTCGAAATCGAAGACGAGGGCTTTTGCTTTTTTTTTTTTTCTCGATCCGGCGGCTTTTCGCGCGAGAACGGCGCGGGCGCGAACACCGCACGCTCCCGAGAGGCGCCCGACCGAGACGTGAAAAAGCGTGCACAGCGGCCTCTTGTGGATCCGCGAAAACAAAAAAACGCTCGAATACGTACCTCCCAGGACGTAAATCGCGGTCCGCAGAAACGTCCGCGGGGCTACGTTTCCACAATGAGCCCGGGTTGTAATAGACACAAGTCTATTCTTGTTTTAATTTTTTCAATGTATATCAGTGCTGTAAATGGGCCAGAAAGTTTAACCTGGTGTTATAAAATCAATCTGCTGCTTCTGACGCTATTGCTGTGCCTTTAATATAATGTAATTACCCCAGGGGTCACTTTCCAATAGAACTAGTAACTATAAGCTACTATAGTAACTATATAGTTTGTTTCTGTATTGTTCTCTGATGAGTCCGCCTTCAGCGTCTTTCCTACGTCCAGGAAAGCTACAGTGTGGAGAAGCCCAAAATAAGCGTACCACTCAGACTGCTGATGCTCAGAGTGAAGCACGGGGGTGGATCAGTGATGGTTTGGGCTGCAAAATCATGGCATTTCCTAAGCCCAATACTTGTGCTAGATGAGCGCATCACTGCCAAGGACTACCAAACCGTTATGGAGGATCATGTGAACCCAGTGCTTCAAACATTGTATCTTAAATGCAGTGCCTTGTATCAGGATGGTAATGCACCATTACACACAGCAACACTGGTGACTGGTTTGATGAACAGGAAAGTGAAGTTAATCATCTCCTATGGCCTGCACAGTCACCAGATCGAAACATTATCGAGCCACTTTGGGTTGTTTTGGAGGAGCGAGTCAGGAAACCTTTCCCTCCACCAGCATCATGTAGTGACCTGGCCACTAGGGATGTAACAATATTGTAAATACCGTCATACCGCAATAGTAATTTTTTTCAATATACCGTAGCCGCATGACTCAATAAAACTATATTTCTGAGAAAAGTTTGCTCAGGCGAATGAAGTGAACGGGAGGTAGCGGGAACTACAATTCCCATCAGCCCAGGCGTGGTCATCATCCTTTGCGGTCTGTTGTCACTACAGATCCAGTAATGTGGAAATGGAGTGTGTTGCTAGTAGCGGGGAAGAAAAAGAGCTGGAAATGATCGAACCTAAAGCGGGTTTTAAATCGGATGTGTGGAAGCATTTCGGTTTCTTTCTAAAAAAGATACGACAAAGGAGAAAAGGTGACAGACACAGACAAAAACAGTATGCAGGCACTGCCAGACTGTGGTGAAATATAAGTCGGGAATACGACTAAAAACAGTCATGGGGACTGCAGAACACAGCACACTGTTCAGATTGATGCAGACATTGACTTGTACCGCAAAGAGACCTCTATCTCACTCATGGCTTGTCCACTCAAGTGGTGGAAAGACAATGCACAGCGTTACCCACTGCTGTCAACCTTGGCTAAATCATATCTCTCTGTCCCAGAAACCTCAGTCCCAAATGAGAGGGTTTTTTCTGTTGCAGGGGACATGCCCAGACATCCCAGCTTTCACCAGATTATAGTTATATGATCATTTTCCTTTAAAAACCCATCTCTATCTAAGTGAGTGAGTGATTAAATGTTGAATGTGATGAGTTTTCAACAATACTAAATTGAAACTTTATTTTTTTTATATGGTTTAATAGTTTTTTGTTATTAAAATTGAAAAATTGAAGTTCCTGTTTCGAAGCTTACAGATAGATGGCTGATTTGTATGTCATTGATATGTTCAGTGCTAGGGTAAATAAACACTTTTGGCACTTTTTTCGTGTCTCTTCATTAGTTTTGTTTATCCTGTAAATTATTCAATAAATACAGTACTGTGCCATTTATACCGAGGTATTATCGTACCGTGAAATTCTGATACCGTTACATCCCTACTGGCCACTATTCTGCAAGATCTCAAAATCTTCCTAGCCACTGTCCAGGACTTGTTTCTGTCATTCCCAAGATCAATTCATGCTGCATTGGTGGCAAAATGAGGCGCTACGCCATAATAATGAAGTATTATAATCAAAAACCAGGCTTTTCACTTCCATTGCCCAACCCCTGTAAATGTTCAATGCGCATTTATGCACTATGTCATATCACGCAGCTCTTACTGTGATTATAAATGAGCAAATAAAACCAATACTGGGGAAAATTTAGCACGTTACTAAGGTAAAATGTAACTCATTGAATTAATGCACTCTATTGCACCTTTAAAATAGGCTCTTATATTTCCTAATCACATGACTTGATCAACAACAGCCTTATTTCTGTCTTCAAATGATGAAAGCAGAGTGTTGGTTTACCCCTAGATACTCGGTTGTCAGCAAGGATTCTCCGCTGAGCTCTTTTGGCTGAGGCTGCAGGACTTCTTCTTTATCAAGGTCCGCCTCCATCACGTCTTCCTGTTAACATGAATCACAGCCAGATCAAAGGACTGAAGATTTTTTGCAATCTGCCAAAGCCAATAAAATGCAAGAGATAAACGGATTACAGGAAGTCAAAAGTCATGCAGAGCAACAGTGAATTAACCTCATCGTCATCGTCATCCTCATCCTCTTCATCGTCTGATTCAGGCTCTTGTTCAGGGATGGTCGCTGTGTACGGAAGAATTATTGAAATGATCAAACAGAAACAAAGCCTGGCACCCGTCCTCATTTAATAAGAGTATCTAGTGACACTTTACTTGAAGGGGTGCTTAAAAGACTGTCATGAAAGCTTCATAATCAGTGTAATGACAGGGTTGATTGATGACATTTTAAGACCATCATAAATGAACTTTCAGACTTTTACAGTACTTTTTTTGTAATGGCCAAAGGAATTGCTTTTACTTGCTCTATTGAAGTTAACATTCAGTTATTTCTTAGCCACAAAATTTAAATAAAGTGTCAAGACATAAAAAGACAAGTTTTCAAAACTATAATAAACTAAATTTCAAGAGTTCCCACTTAGATATGCTTAGTGTTAATAGCAGATTCTTATGAAAATACCTAAGATGGCTGGAAGAACACAGTTAAAGCCTTTATAAGTTTATTGGTAACCCTAGCACAGCCCCTGGACACTAGACCTCCAGGAACAAGTTTGGTGATCCCTGCTCTGCGTCATGTTATATGGACTGGTGGAGTTTATGACACTTTTATAGTGCTTTTCCTCCATTTGAAGCAGATAACCCTGTGCTTATTCACTTTCGTTATGCTGGAAACGGTGACCAAGATAAAGTTCAGGAAGCCTTATGTTTTCTGCAGAAGAGAAACTTGGGTCACGCTTTATTTTAAGGTATAATTCCTGCTATTTATAAACCATAAACTATGACTTTTAGCTCAATAAACTCCTAATTTGCTGCTTATTAATAGTTGTTAAGATTGGGTAGAATAAAATCATACTTTATAAGTGCTAATAAACAGTTATTATCTTAATAATAAGCAGGTAATAAGCTAATAGTTAATAGTGAGAATTGGTACTTAAATTACTGTCACCAAAACATAATATGGATCATTCATTCATTTATTCATTCATTCATTTTCTTGTCGGCTTAGTCCCTTTATTAATCTAGGGTCGCCACAGCGGAATGAACCGCCAACTTATCCAGCATATGTTTTACACAACTGATGCCCTTCCAGCTGCAACCCATCTCTGGGAAACATCCATACACACTCATTCACTTACATACACTATGGACACTTTAGCCTACCCAATTCACCTGTACGGCATGTCTTTGGACTGTGTGGGAAACCGGAGCACCTGGAGGAAACCCACGCGAACGCAGGGAGAACATGCAAACTCCACACAGAAACGCCAACTGACCCAGCCGAGCTCGAACCAGCGACCTTCTTGCTGTGTGTGCGCCACTGCGTCGCCCGTTTTATGGATTATTTCCATTTAATTTTGAGCAACTTTTTATTATTATTATTGTTTTTATTTTCGGGTCTTACCTGAGTTGAGCTGTTTGATGATGAATTCGATTTGTCTGTTGAGTTCAGGGTTTTCTTCTTTGTTGTAACAGCGTAAGATCTCCTCCATACTCTAGTAAAAACAAGACGCTTGCATTATTACCGTTCTGCCAACGATGATCCATCCATTCATTTGTTCATTTTCGTTCGGCCCATTCATCAGGGGTTGCCACAGCGGAATGAACCTCCAACTATACCAGCATATGTTTTATGCAGTGGATGCCCTTCCAACTGCAACCCAGTACTAAGGAAACACCCATTCGCACACACACATACTCACACACACCTACTTTAGAGCGCATGTGTTTGGATTAAGGGGGAAACTGGAGCACCCGGAGCAAACCCAGGTTAGCATTGGAAGAAATGCCAACTGGGAAATGCCAACTGGGCAAGCAGGGAACCAGCAACCTTGTGCTAACCACTGTGGGAATATAAATTAATATAATCTATTTATATAACTGAAAAGTAGTTTTCAGGGTGTGGCAGACCTTAAAATGTCTTGGTTTCCTGAGCCCTGACGGTCTATGAAGTAATGCAGATTCTCAGTTTCACAGCACAGCTGTATCTACTGTCTTCTCTGTCTCCAGAACATCATTTGCCCCCTGTTTTAATGCTAAAATGTCTCATGAATGGGTAATTATATGCTAATGAGATCGGGCCTGGAAAGGCAAGTTACCCTGCCGACAACAACACTTCATTTGCGTGCTTTGCTTGACTGTCCCCACCATGACTGTCCCCACCTACATGCATCAAATGTATTTAAACTGAGTGTCTGTTGTACCACTTGAGAGTTTCTTTCGATGACGTCACAGCCAAGCTGAGTTCTTCTTATTAAAAGGATTCTTCTTTGAAGATACCGTAAGTTCTCCCTGGTTTTTTGGGCTCGTCTTAGAATTTCACAACAGTTTGGTGCCGCGAGCCAGACTAGAGAAATTCATAACCCTCCTGAGCCACAGCACTTTGATTACTTCTATGCAGGGGCGCGGCTGGCCATCACGGGCCCTCTGACAAGCTAAGAGTAGAGAGGGAAGGTGGGAGGAGGCGGTGGGGGTCGCGGATGAAAGTGAAGAGCAGGGGTGTGGGGTTGGCGCGGGCACTTGATAATGTCGATGAGGCGCCCCTAAATGTATGGGCCCTTAGAATCGTCCTAACTTTCTCCCCCCAGCGGCGCCCCTTCTTCTATGCACAATCCATATATATTTTTACATTGATATTCCAGTCTTCAGTGTCACAGGATCCTTCAGAGATGCTAATTTGTTACTCAAGAACGCTTCTGGCTGTTCAGAGCAAACTGAATAATAGTTAATTGATACACTTTTTGTTTTTGTAGCATACAAATGTCTTTAGAGGCGCTTCATGCATGAATAAAACTATTATTTTGTAAGAACATGTATGTTTATAATGTATAATATGTATATGTATGATTATATGTAACAATGTTTGATAATATACATTTAGTTTATTTAATTTTGCCAATTAACTTCTGAACCTTCCCCACAATTTTTCAGTTCACACTTAAAATGATAAATGCATATTATATATATATTATAATTATATATATATATATATATATATATATATATATATATATATATTGTTAATAAAACTTCATGAATGAATAAATAAATAAATAAAAATCTATAAAATATTAAATGGTAAAAAATAAATTAAAATAAGTTAAAAAAATAATAAAACAAAATTAAGACATTTAAATAAAATAAAATAAAATTAAATATAAAATAAATTAATTAAATAAAGTAAACAAATTAAATTAAAATTAAATTATTATTAAACAAATAAATAATAGTTAAGTGGTTGAACTTTTTGAATCTGCTCCCTTTGCTTGGTCACTTATCAGCGATTAGCCTTGAAAGGTTTGAATCTTATCGCTCATTTCACATCTTGTAGTTTTATTGCTATCAGAAGACTGGAGTCCAGGCATTAATGCTGATGTTGCGTAACTGTAACTGTGAATGAAGCTGTTAAACACGTACCATCTGTTTGGCTTCCTCTCGTATCTCTGGCACAGACAGGATGCTGTATAAAGCTCCATTCACATAATACCGAATCTAAAAAACCCACAAAAAACACAAACATGAATTCCACAAGGCCATTATAAATGTGTCATGAATCTTTAAAAAATTCAAGACTGCTTTTATTCCAGCCGAAATAAAACAAATAAGTCTTCTCTAGAAGAAAAAATATTATCAGACAAACTGTGAAAATTTTCTTTCTCTATTAAACATCATTTGGGAAATATTTAAAAAAAAGTGTGTGTGTGTGTGTGTATTTAAAATGTATATTTACAGTAAAATTACAATAAAAACGGCCAAAAAATCTGGAAAATGTCATTTTTTAGACAACAGCAAGGTAATGCTTTACCTTCACAACTATAATGAAATCAATATTTAGTAAAATAACCCTGATTTTAATTAAAACTCATAAAAACATTTATAAAAACAAACAAAACTTATTTGAAAAAAAAAAATTTTCTGAAGATTAAAAAAAAAGTGAAAAGGTAAAAAGTAAATATAAATAAATATAAGTAAAATAAATAAAAACAAATTGTTTATTATGAAATAAAACAAATATCAACATTTTGCTCAAACCCACAGTCTAATAAGTCCAGGAACACTCAGAATTTTAATGCAAAAACAATTAAAGAATAAATTGCTGTATGTTTGACAGAATATTTTAGAATTTTAGAAAGTAATTTTAATATTTATATTTGCAAATTTACCAAAATTCAATGCATAAATAAACTTTAGACTAGTTTACTTTACTTTAAAGCCTTATCAAAACATTAGGGGCAATTTATTCTGACATGTATGGAGCTTTATATAATATATATGTATACATACACTCACCGTCCACTATATTAGGTACACCTGTCCAACTGCTCGTTAATGCAAATTTCTAATCAGCCAATCATGCGTCAACAACATGAAAGCATCAATCCATCCTAACTTGTATCAATGGTTCAGGCTGCTCAAGGAGGTGTAATGGTGTGGGGGATATTCTCTTGGCACACTTTGTGCCCATTAGACCAATTGTTAATAGTATAGTTAATGACCATGTCAATCCCTTTATGACCACACTGTCTCCATCTTCTGATGGCTACTTCCAGCAGGATAACGCACCATGTCATAAAGCGTGAATCATCTCAGACTGGTTTCTTGAACATGACGATGATTTCACTGTACTCAAATGGCCTCCACAGTCACCAGAACTCAATCCAATAGAGCACCTTAGGGATGTGGTTGAACGGGAAGATTGGCATCATGGATGTGCAGCCTAAAATTCTGCAGCAACTGCGTGATGCTATCATGTCGATAAGGAGCAAAATCTCTGAGGAATATTTCCAGTAGCTTGTTGAATCTCTGCCATAAAGGATTAAGGCAGTTCTGAAAGCAAAAGAGGGTCCAACCTGGTACTAGTAAGGTGTACCTAATAAAGTGGCCAGTGAGTGTACATACATTACAAACACAATTGACACACAATTATAAGACCTTAACAACAATTACACACACACACTCACAAATAATACGAAATAATAATAATAAAATTAAATAAATCAATAAATAAAACACTAAAAATAATACTGACTAACAGATTAATATTAGTAATAGGCTATCGCTGACTGATATAAAATAAAAAACACTGAGCAAATGAATTAAATACAATAGTCTTAGTATAAAACAATGAACACAATAGGCGTAGTCTTCACTCTCCATTTCAAAAGCCTCAAAAAAAGGGAGTGAAACGTTCAAGGTACGCTTGGCAAGACAAACGTTTTAATCCAAAGCTGACAAAAGCGCTCATATTTGAGAAGCGTGTGACGTAAAAAAAAAAAAAAAAAAAAGCTAATTGACAGCTTCGGGTTTTGGCTAATCAGGAAGGCGGTGAGCAAACACAAATAAACACTCCCCTGTTTGAGCAATTATCCATTTACCTCATGGTTCTCGTGTCCCAGGAGCTCCGTCAGGACTTTCAGGACGTACTTGGCCTCCTCTGCGCACCTTTTCTTTCCTGAAACATGAGCGGCGGAACATAAACATTGCATTTGCTCGGTACACATCTCCATTTGCCTGAGCAAATAAAGTGGAAAGAAGCTAAACAAAGAGTGATGAATGAACAATGCGTGATGGTTGTGTGATTTCGGGACGTCACCTTGAGTGCGCAGGCAGAGGTTCATAAGGAGGGAAATGGCATATTCCAGAGTGTAGTCCGACAGACAGTCCGAGTCATTCAGCTCTTTGACCAGCCAGCCAATCAGACCGTCTCTGATCATAGCAGACTGCTGCGCTCGCCTGCACAGATATACAAACACTTTAAGGGCCCTATCATACACCCGGCGCAGTGTGGTGCAAGGCGTGGCGCAGTAGTCTTTTGGTAGCTTCAGCTTGGCGCAAGAGTCGTTTTGAGGCGTTGCGCTACGCTGTTTACATAGCAAATGCATTAGCGCTCATATGTGCGCCCATAGGCGTTCTGGTCTAAAAAGGAAGGTGTTCTGAGGCGGACCGCTGGCGCGTTGCTATTTTGAGAAACTATAATAGATTTTTCATTAGACCAAAACTATCCCGGTCTAAACTTCAGCGCAGAGTTGCGCCTCGCTTACACACTGCTTAACACACACAAGAGAGCAATAGGCAAATATCTTTACATATGAAAAAATGTAAATAATAAGGATATATATAGGATATAATAAGAATAGCTATAGGATATAAATATAAAGGATTAAAATATTACAAAACATATTATTTTCTAGCCTACATAAATATGAAAAATCACTGCTTTTATGTCTTCTTCATCTCGGGAGGCTTTTTCAGTTCATTCATAACAATTTGCTTTTGTATAATGTTATTATTATTAGCAGTATTATTTATTATATCCATATTTATATTTGTTTTATTAAAAACAAGCTTAGATTTGTCCACCTGTCAGGTTTTAGATCATATGGGGCGCAGCATGTGTTTTAGGATATAACTCAGGTTTTTGAGCACACTTCATTATTATTGTTCATTTATTCGTTTGCTGGAAATTAGAACTGAATTTAGAAATAGTTTTGAAACGAATATTTGCACTTAATAAACACAATTATTTATTTATAGACTAATTGATGTCTGTGCATAAAGAGTGAAAGTGATCCATTATCTCTCATTCTCACGCAGTAGATGCTCTGTTTAACAGTTTTCTGTTAATTAACTGTTTGCTTGTGAAATGCTCATTTTTTCCATTTAGACTTACTTTGCGTCCTGTAAATAGCGAATGCGCTTATGGCGCGACGCAGCTGGCTCTTAAAGGTAATGGGAGATGAGACTCTGATTGGTTTATTCTCAAAACACACCTATAACTCATTAAGAAAATAAACTCAACCCTTTTAGACCATGGGCCGCGGCACAAGGCAGATTTCCCGTCCTTAAATTAGCAAAAAAGCGTTTGCGCCCTGCGTTTTGCGCTCTGAGCATAGACCGTCAAAATAGAGCCCAGTGTGTTTTATGGTGTTTAGTTCTTGTGTGTTGTTTAAATTGACTATCCTTTTGTTATGTTGCTGGTGTGTGACTTGCATTATAAGCACATTTATTTGATCGCAAAGCCATGACAGCATATAACCATATACAGGAGTCTGTGTCCTAAGCACTTGGCCACTTTCAGCTTAGAAATCAGGGAATAACTCACCTTCAAATGGTGGAGAGAGAGAAAACAAATAAATCAAATTCTTACAAGAAATGTCTGTGTAAGGTTTGATTACCGCTTAAGAAAGGGCATACCTGAGGCTGAGCTTCTGCAGCGCTGCCAGCACATTCTCTCGAGTGACAGACTCTTTCTCTTCAGTCTTCAGACAGTCCAGCAGAAATGGCAGTAAAGCTGGAATCTGAGACAGGTACAGGCGCCCTGAGTGTGAAATACACACATTAACCTGATGAAAACACTAGTCACGCAACACTTTTTTTGCAACAGAGTTGAACTAGGAAAGAGAAAATAGAGAAACAATAATGAATTTGCTCAAAACATTACAACGATTACAAAAGTTTCAGGCGACATAGTCAGATGTTTACTGTCAACGGTGTACGACACAATGAATGTGTGTGATGAACTTTAACTCTTTAGAATATATTCTGCCGTTGTGTAAACACTTTTTAAAGTACTTAATTTAAACTGTGGCAATTAATCTAAAAATAATAAAGTCTATTGTACAAAGCACTGATTTTTATGTAGTTTCAAAATACAATATATTAACATTTTAATGTAGAAAAGCCAACGTGGGTGTGTTTATGAGCACAAATACAGCATATGGGCTCTTATATGTAGTCGTGTTACACTCATATAGCAAGTCATATCTCTCCGGCCCTTCGTTTGGGATGCTTTTCATGAACCGGCCCGCCATGACAAACTAATTGAATAGCCCTGATATAGGGCATAAGAACAGGACGTGTCCTTGGATGTAACTTCATTACTATTGTTTAGTTATTTGTTTGCTGTAAATTAGAACTGAATTTAGAAACACTTTTAAACAAGTCTTAGTGCTTAAAAAACTAAATGAATTATGTAGTCTAATGCTGCGTTCACACCAGACGCGGAACGCGCGTCAAGCGCGAGTGATTTACATGTTAAGTCAATGCAAACGCGCGAATAGACATCCTGCGGTGCGATACGCGCGAATGATGAGAATTGCGCGAATGATGAGAATTGCGCGAATGGTGCGATACGCGCGAATGGTGCGATACGCGCGAATGATGAGAATTGCGCAAATGGCGCGATACACGCGAACTTCAACGGAAATTTGCACCGCGTTAACCAATCAGGAGCTCTCTTTAGGGGGCGTGATTGTGACGTATCGCCTGTTGTCGGTGTCCCAGGGGAAATCCACCAGCAGACACCAACAAGAAGTTCATCAAACTGGGCTGGGAGTCTATGAGCTTAAAGAGCTGGATGTACCTCTGAAAGGATGTAGTGGACTCAGACACGGCCCTAAACGTATCGATGCTGTTTATCATCCTTCATAAAGCACATAAACACGGTTATTTTCTTAATAAAATCCATGTTGGCCATTTAGCTATGAAGCTAGAGTCACGGGGCAGACAGAAGCCCTGCCCATCACGCGAATCTGCGTCTGTTTTTAAGTGAATTTGACATGCGATTGAAGCGGATTTGACGCGCGAATGAAGCAGGGTTTGACGCGCGAATGAAGTGAGTAAACTCAAATGTTCACGCGGCAATTTATGCGCGAATAGTGCAATTTATCCGCGCGTTCCGCGTCTGGTGTGAACACAGCATAATGAAAGTCTTCAGTGGGTGCGTCCAATACATTTCCTTATGCATGAAAGAGAGAAAGTGAAGGCCAAATGGTGGAGGCTCATTCTTTATTCTCGCGCTGCAGATGCTGTTTAACTGTTTTCTCTGTAGCGAAGTGTTCAGTTTTTACACATACAAAGTCCGCTATGTAAATAGCAAAATGCGCTATGGCGCAACACAACAGACTCTTAAAGGGAATGGGAGATGAGACTCTGATTGGTTTATTCTTAAAACACACCCATAAGTCATTAAGGGAGTAAGCTCAACCCTGTTAGACCATGCACCACGGCGCAGAGCATATTTTTCTGTCCTTAAAATAGCAAAAGTGGATTCGGACATGCTCTTAATGCAAGACTTTGCGCCAAGACCGTTAAAATAGAGCCTTAAAGCGCATGGCGCAAAAGCATTAAGGGCATGTCTGAATCCACTTTTGCTATTTTAAGGACGAAAAAGTACGCTTTTCATCGTGGCGCATGGTCTAACAGGGAGAAATTCATTCCCGCCACAGCTACATTACAGCTTCTGGATGGACTTTGGGACAACATTATTAACAAAAATACTAAACCACAATACCATCACACAATAAAACAAACGGATTGATCAGTCTGGCCATGACAATCTCATTCTTGCACTTTAAATATTCAGCTTTGGGTGAACTGTCCCTTTAAATTTGACCAAATTGAGGAGTCACTAAAACATGCTACGTGGATTTAGTGTCATAATCCTAATTTAAGGCCATTTTACTCATTGTGTTGGAGTATTGTGGGCATTCATGATCATTGGATGGGCTTAGAGAACAATATAACGAAGAATCCTTTTCACTCACCATCACACAAAGAGGCAAACGCATTGATCAGTCTGGCCGTATACTGTCTGACAATCTCATTCTTGCACTTTATCAGATGGAGAACAGTTTTCTGTAGAGTAAACCAAAGCAAACTGGTTAGACGAGGTGTCACTCATCCTGGAATGTTTGCGTTGGGCACAATTTGCTGTTAAAAACGATTTCGCTTCCTGCCGAGTGTGTTTTTTTTATCATCGTAATGTGAGACGCAAAGCTTTTCGGGTAGACCGAAAGATGAGCTTAAGGCAGATAAACAGTGACAGTAACTGCTGAAACCTGATTATCCACATTCAGATTCATCCTAAATACCTGGCATAGATAGCTGATGACACATTTTTGCTGAGTAAGTAGGACAAGGATGGGTTTGAAATCATTCTAAAACTCTTAACCCCTTATTGGATGGCAATTCTAACACAAAATAAAGAAGATAAAACACATGCTGTCAGAATTATTAGCCCCTGGTGTAGTTTCCCCCCGACTTCTGTTTAACGGAAAGAATACATTTCTAAACATAATAGTTTTAATAACTCATCTCTAATAACTGATTTCTTTTATCTTTGCCTTGATGACAGTCAATAATATTTGACTTTAACTACTATTATTTAGCTTAAAGTGACATTTAAATGCATAACTATGTTCATTAGGTTCGTAAGGCAAACTAGGGTTATTATGGGGCGTTCACATCAGACGTGGCTTGCTTGAATAAATCACACTATTGAGTTTACTCGCTTCATTCACGTGTGAAATTCACTTCACAATAGACGATGATTCACTTCATGGGCAGGGTTTCTGTCTGCCTGGTGACTCTAATGTTGTTGCTAAATGGCTAACGCGGGTTGTATTGAGAGAGTAGCTGTGCTTTACGTGATTGTATGAAGGCTGATAAACGGCAAGGATTTGTTCGGCACCAACAACAGGTGCTGCATCAAAATCGCGCCCAAACTAGAGCAAGCTCCAGCATATGTCAAAAATTTGCTTAACTCCTGTGTCAGATTAGCTTCATTTGTACGTCAAATTCGATTAATTTGCGCGTCAAATTCGCTTCATTCGCGCATCAAATTTGCTACATTCACACATCAAATTTGACTCATTAGTCCATCAAATTAGCTTCATTCGTGCATAAAAATTTGCTTCATTCACGCGTCAAATGCGATAAATTCGCGCATTAAATTCGCTACATTTGTGCGTCAAACTCACTTCATTCGTGTGTCAAATTCGCTTCATTTGTGCGTCAAATTTGATTCATTCGCACATCAAATTTGTTTCATTTGCGAGTCAAATTCATTTAATTCGCGCATCAAATTCACTTAATTCGCGCATCAAATTCATTTAATTCGCGCATCAAATTCATTTAATTCGCGCATCAAATTCACTTAATTCGCGCATCAAATTCATTTAATTCGCGCATCAAATTCACTTAATTCGCGCATCAAATTCATTTAATTCGCGCATCAAATTCATTTAATTCGCGCATCAAATTCACTTAATTCGCGCATCAAATTCATTTAATTCGCGCATCAAATTCATTTAATTCGCGCATCAAATTCACTTAATTCGCGCATCAAATTCATTTAATTCGCGCATCAAATTCATTTAATTCGCGCATCAAATTCACTTAATTCGCGCATCAAATTTACTTAATTCACAGCTCAAATTCACTTAATTCGCGCATAAAATTAGTTTAATTTACGCATCAAATTCACTTGATTCGTGCATCAAATTCACTTCATTCGCGCATCAAATTGCCGCTTCAACTGAGTGAATCGCGTTGCAGGATGTTTTTATCATGTCTTTGCACTGACTTGACAGGTAAATCACTCACGCTTGACGTTTCATTCGCATCTGGTGTGAACGCACTATTCGGCAAGTCATTGCATAATTATGGTTTGTTCTGTAGACAATCAAAAAAGTATAGCTTTAATGGGCTAATAATTTTGACGTTAAAATTATTTAAAAAAATGAATAACCGCTTTTATTCTAGCCGAAATAAAACAGATGAGGCTTTCTACAGAAGAAAAAAGATTATAGGAAATACAGTAAAAATTTCCTTGCTCTGTTCAACGTCATTTGCGAATAATTTTGACTTCAGCTGTAAGTCTAAATGATATAAAGGGTGACATGAACAAACAATGAGCGATACATTACAGTATTTATTTAACATTAGTTAATGAAATAAAGTCATCCATAGCTAGTTTTTGTTAACTCACAGTGCATTAACTAATGTTAACAAGTACAACAATATTAATAAGTTCATTATTAATATTGAATGACATTAATAAAGGGCAGCACAGTGGCTCAGTGACCTCACAGCAGGAAGGTCGCTGGTTCGAGTCCTGGCTGTGCCAGTGGGCACACTTCTGTGTGGAGTTTGCATGTTCTCCATGTGTTGGCATGGGTTTCCTCTGGGTGCTCCAGCTTCCCCCACAAGTCCAAAAACATGTGCTACAGGTAAATTGACCAAATTGTCTGTAGTGTATGTGTGTAAATGAACGTGTATGGATGTTTCCCAGTACTGGGTTGCAGCTGGAAGGGCTTCCACTGTATAGATCATATGCTGGATAAGTTGGCGGTTCATTCTGCTGTGGTGACCCCTGATGAATAAAGGGACTAAGCCGAAGGAAAATTAATTAATGAATATTATTGATTTATGTATTGTTTGTTTTTGGGTCATATTAGTAAATACATGAACTAGCATTAACTAATGGAATCTTACTGTAAGGTGTGACCAAAAAAAAAGTTATGCAGGGAATGGATAAAAAAGTGACTGTTTACGTGGAACTGGATACTGACTCACTAACATAACTGACAACGAGAGAAAAAAAAAAAACCCCAGAAAGCTTTACATATTTGTGTGTATGCATCATGCAGAAGAGACTAAACGTGAGTGAAAACTGCTAAAAACCACATCCTGCTATGTGACAACAACATCCTGATGGATGAGTTGCTAAAAATAAAGCTGTGTAAACTAAAATTAGTGGTGCTAATGCTTAAATTACTCTGTGTGTGTGTGTGTGTTTCAGCAGGTTGTTACCATAAATATGACCTGTGTCATCGTTGTGTCACCACGTACCTGTTTGTTACTGTATCTCTCCAGAAGGTCGTTGCTGATGAAGGCCTGTAAAACCGTGTCTCTTTGCTCGCCGTGAAGAGATCGAGTCAACCTCTGTCAATAAATTTAACAATTACTGAATCTGGCATTGGAATTAGAAGGAAAAAACAACAGTATTCAATATAAAAGACCTATTGCTGCGTGCTAATTCACATACTTACTAGATATTTGTCTGTTTAAAGTGCAATTTAAAGGCTTAACTAGTGTAATTAGGCAAAGTATAGTGATTAGGCAAGTCATTGTGTAATGATGGTTTGTTCTGTAAACAATCAAAAACAAATACTGCTTAAAGAGTACAACAAATAACTGATTTAATTCTAGTTAAATAAAACAAATAAGACTTTCTTCAGAAGAAAAAATATATAATAGGCAATACTGTGAAAATTTCCTTGCCCTGTTAAACATCATTAGGGAAATATTTGACAAAGAAAAGAAAAAGAGGGCTAATAGTTTTGACTTCAGCTGTATATGAAATTCTGGACCTAAATGTGCTGGTGATTTTAGTTTATTAACTGTAATTAAGGGTTACCCAACGCAAAGCCTGAAGCAGCAGAGCCTTCAGTCGATCTGATCCAGTCAGCAGGTCTTTCTTCAGCTTCTCGTAGTCCAGGGAAGGCAGCAAGGGCACATCTTTGGGCCTCCTGAGAGCAGGAAGTAGCAAAAAAAATAACAAAATACAAACAATGAATCTTGCTCTACAAGTTTTTGAAGGTTACTGACGGGAATTATACTTTAGTTTTCCGACTTAAAAAAAAAAAAAAAGATGAAATAGCCTCGAGGCAGCCAGATCACATGCCTTCCAGGTCTGTCTTGAAGGCATTTGAAGAATTATTCCAGTGATGTGATTTACCAGTTACGAGATGGCAGTCAATACACTGATTATATAACATCAACAAACAATAAATAAACAAACAAAAATAAATAATATTATTAATAATAATTATAAATAAATCAATAAATAAATAAATACATAATACTTAAATAAACATACAAATTAAATAAATAAATACATAAATAATAAATAAATACATAAATACATAAAACAAATAAGTAAATAAATATTAAATACATAAAAATAATAAATAAATAAATAAATACATACTTAAATAAACATAAAAATTAAATAAATAAATACATAAATAATAAATAAATACATAAAACAAATAATAAGTAAATAAATATTAAATACATAAAATAATAAATAAATAAATACATAAATAAATAAGTAAAAACAATTAATATTAAAAAAATACATATATAAATTAATAATAAATACATAAATAAACATAAAAAATAAAGAATACATACATAAATTAACCTAAAAATAAATAACAAATAAATAAACACACATAAATTAGTACAAATAAATAAAAGCAAAAAGATGAATAAATAATAAAAAAAATTAAATGAATACATAAATGAACACAAATAAACAAACAAATAAATAAATAAATGAATACACAATTTAATAAATAAATACCAAATTAATTTTGAATATACTTATTACAGGGTATTTTTGTTGTTGTTGTAATTGATCATAATTTATGCTCTTTAATATAAAAATAAACGTGCCTTGCCTTGCCTTTGATATAAGAAAAATAGGCAACATGTTTGTAAATTCCCCGAATAAAAAATAAAAATAAGAGTGAAATATTGATGTTCATAAATAAATCTATAAAATAAGTGTGACATTTCAATATTACGAACAAGACGAGATTTTCTACCAATCCTATAGTTTTAAGTCACGTGACCTGTGCAGAGACCAGGCAGGCAAAAAACTAAATGAATAAAAAATAAAAATAAATAAATAAAAAAATACAACAGGCATTATGGCAGCTACACTGAGATCTGTCCATCTCATATGGGACAGGAGAGGGAGTCCAAGTTTTTAGAAACTGGGATTGTGGATAATTTTTCAGAGGGGGGTAAGATGATTTTCCATCTGTTTCAAGCTAAGAATTTAGATCACGGATCAACAGAGCAATTCAGAGATTTGATTGCAAACTTTAAACTATGCGCATTTATGATCCATATCCTGCAACTGTTTTTTAGTCACATGGTGTTTACAATTATCTTGAGGATATTCCTCAGCGATTTAGTCATTAGTGATTGCGTTATAGCTTGTGATTGATTATATATTTAGTGTCGGTTTCTTTGACTTAGATTAATATTTGCTGGTAGGAAAAAAATGTTCATTCACTTCGGCTATTTGACTTAGAATTTGTACTTTAATTGCACAAATTAGAATAGAGACAGTATAAAACGCATAAAAGCATATAATGATATAGTGCCATGGGTTGTAATGAATCAATGATGCTAACATTTAGCACAAATTAAGAAATCTCTCCTTCCTGACCGTCCTTTCTATGAAGTAATTCAGTAGAAGCACAGCCCAGGCATGTCAACTCATCGGTTAGTAATGCGATATGTTTCTGCACAACAGTTATCCGGCTTTCTAACTAAAATAAGAGAAATCACTCCGCCCATGACTTGGCGGTCAGCAGGAGATAATATCATGTGCAACATGTTCCTCTAGTGGTGTGATGTCACATCAAAAAACTATTAGCAGTAAACAAAAACAACTCACTGAGGTGCCACTGACGCCCGTAGCATTGAGGAAGCCTGAAAGAAGGAAAAAAAAGTGTCATTTAAATCAGTTGATAGAATTACATATCAATGGAAACCAAAATGGCTGGGTGTGTTAGTTCACTGGTTATCCTACAGCAGACATGGGATTAGAACACATGCGTATTATTCCTGCATGCAGTTCAGTGCACTGTAAAAACTGATTAGTTACTTTACTTAACATCAAAAAACGGAGTAAAACCATTGCCTCAAAAGCTACAAGTTGACTTTCTTTAAAATAGTGAGTAAACTTGTTGTAACTTGGAACTTTTAAGTTGATTTAACTTATTTTGTTTTTAATTATGCACGCAGTTCACACTGCAAACACAACTGTTAATGTGCAGTTTCCGTATTTTGCGATTCACAGGTGTCTTCAGTTTATGTCTGGTTGTGAATGGCATTATGCGATGCTGACCAGGGCCCAGTTTTTCAAAAGTAATCCACTAGAATTTTTGATAAGGGATTGGATCAAATCTTGAAAATGGGTTTTTCAAAAGAAAAAACGGATAACATAATCGGATTAGATCACGTAATCCAATCCTGGTTTTGATCCGGATCAAACCTTTGTTTGGGTTTTTCAGACCTTTTTTGTAGGATCTGGATCACTTTGATCCAAAAAACCTGGATTAAACTGATCCCATCAGAAGGGTGGATTTAGCGTGGATTTCATGCCTAAAATGTAATAAAACTTAAAAAATTTATTAAACAATACTATTTTTGGATCATGCAGTATCTTACGAGATATACTATTTATTCATAAGGTTTTAATTTTATTTGTTCATCTGTCAGGCTATAGTGATTATAGGCTTTAACGTATTTAGCCTTTCTGTATAGGCCTCCAGCAAAGTAGAAAGAGTTTGGCCTCATAAAATAATCCCCCAAACAGCTGTCAAAATTGACCAAAAACAATACATTTTATTTAGTCTCTAATTGTATATATATAATATATATATATATATATATATATATATATATATATATATATATATATATATATATATATATATATATATATGTATTCATCACAATGAAAAATATTTTTCTTATTAGAATATTTATTAATGATGATAGCAATGATTACAGAATAAACAAAAAATGCAAGAAACGGCAGTGACTGATTTTTGATATCTCTTTCAACAATTGCAAAAAGAGACTGAAAGGGCAGAAGCACAGCTTCGCCTGGCAGAGGAACAACTGACTCTGACCAAACTGCAGCAAACCAAGGCCAGACTTGAGATCCCCCTCCTAAAGGATACGCTCAGACAAGCTGCTCTCTCCACATCAGATGAGGAAGTCTGAGATTATTGTGGAGCTTTTGACATTAAGTCTTTTTTTTATTTACATCTATATTTGAAACTTATTATAAATACCTCAATGTACAGTGTTTGTGTTGTAGGTCTCAGATGAGCGGACTGCTGGAAGAGGATGGGGTGGGCTTTTTCTTGTTTTTCTAATTTATTATTATTAATTTAATATTTAATAAATTTTCTTAGTTTTCATTAAAAAACAAAATAAAGTTATATTGACCCCACGCTGGCTATTCTACTTGTCGCTCTTTACATATCTATAGTTCCACATTGTGATTTCCTATCCTGTTTGAGCACTGGTAATCCAGATTTAGTGATCCTGAAAAGTTCCTATCCGGATCAGATTGATCCAATCCAATGTTGCTTTGAAAAACTGGCTCAAAAAGTAAGCTGGATTACCTGATCACGGTTAGCAAAAACAGAATTACTAAATCTGGATCAATTTGATACGGATTAAACCTATTGAAAAACCGGGCCCAGTTTATCTAACCAACCTTCTGTCTCGCTACAATCCAACCTGCTCTTTAAAATCACAAAACTCAGGGCTTCTGGTAGTACCTAGAATAGCAAAGTCCACTAAAGGAGGTCGAGCCTTCTTATTTATGGCTCCTAAACTATGGAATAGCCTTCCTGATAATGTCCGAGGCTCAAACACACTCTCGCAGTTCAAAACTAAATTAAAGACCTATCTTTTTAGCAAAGCGTACACTCAGTGCATCACTTAGCAGTATGATGCATGAATGTGCTCCACACAGGTTTCTACATCTTGCTTATATACACTATGAACAGCAGCTACACTAATTATTCTCTTTATTCTCTTCATGGGGAGACTCATCCTGAGGCCCTCAGACTATGCAGCGCCACTGATTCAATCCAAGACCAGTGACGAGATGATCCCAAGGTTTCCATAATCCTGGATCAGGCCGTATCCTGAGCATCTGCTGGGGTGGTCATGGAGAAGCGGAGACCATGAGACTAATTCCTATAAAACTCCAGTGACAGACGAGCCTTCGCTGAGGTCCAGCTTCTCCAGCGCTTAGACTGCAGCTCTGCACAAGACTTTAGGCCAAAGGAGAAACGGTTTCTCTCAAGGTTTTTTAATTCTTCACTTTCGCCAATTGGTGATGTTTTTTCCTCACCGCTGTCGCCACTGGCTTGCATGGTTCGGGACCTGTAGAGCTGCGCATCGATGGATTTGCTCTGCAGTGTTTGGACTCTCAGTAGTGATTATTAAACCACACTGAACTGAGCTAAACTCTGAAAATTAAACTACACTGTTTCAATTTACCATAATCTTCTATGTGAAGCTGCTTTGACACAATCCACATTGTAAAAGCGCTATACAGGTAAATGTGAATTGAAAAACACTGAATAATAAAATGTATAAGATATAATCAATAGAGAAATAAGTCTGTAAACTGGTGGTTTATTTCAAGGTTTTTGTAGCGCAATATAGACTACCTGACAAAAGTCTTGTCGCTTATCCAAGTTTTAGGAACAACAAATAATACTTTGACTTTTAGTTGATCATTTGGAATCGGAAGTGGCTCATATGAAGGGCAAAGGCCTCTAGATGACGCTTATTTGAGCAAAAAAAAATATGATCATGTCTTGATTTTTATTGATTTAATTAGGACAGTAAGGTCTGACTCTGCCTAGACAAAAGTCTTGAACTGAACAGAAATAATGTCCAGTATAGAAAATAAAGTCCTGCTGCAGTGGAGACAGATGAATATTGTGTCTGACTCCATCATGAGCTTGGAGGACTGCATCCATACATCTCTGCAATGAAAGAAATCACTTATTAAGTCATCTGGAATGGCAAAGAAAGCGTTCTTGCAGGACTCCCAGAGTTCATCAAGATTCTTTGGATTCATCTTCAATGCCTACTCCTTCATCTTAACCCAGAAATGCTCAATAATGTTCATGTCTGGTGATTGGGCTGGCCAATCCTGGAGCACCTTGACCTCCTTTGCTTTCAGGAGCTTTTTATGTGGGGGCTGAAGTATGAGGAGGAGCGCTATCCTGCTGGAGAATTGGCCCTTCTCCTGTGGTCTATAATGTAACGGGCAGCACAAATGTCTTGACACCTCAGGCTGTTGATGTTGCAGATCTCTCGAACGCCCCAATACTGAATGTAACCCCAAACCATGATTTTTCCCTCACCAAACTTGACTGATATCTGTGAGAATCTTGGCTCCATGCTGAATCCAATAGGTCTTCTGCATTATTTGTGATGATTGGGATGCAGTTTAACAGATGATTCATCTGAGAAATCCACCTTCCGACACTTTTCCAAATGATCAACTGGAAATCAAGTTATTATTTGTTGCACGTACAATGGGATCCACAGCAAGACTTTTGTCAGGAAGTGTACAACACCAACCCACCAATAAATCACTTTAAACTATTAAAAACTTTTATAAAAGTCACCTTTTTCCAACTTTTCAATGCTTAAAGTTATTGCAAGAAAGATCAAGCTCCAACAATGCCATTTAAAAGCAGAAATAAACAGAGAAACAAATAAAAATAAAAGCGAGATTCACAAAATACGGAAAACCGCTAATTTGCATTTATTTTATTTAAAGTGCCTTTATTCAGTAATTTAAAAGCAGCATGTTTACTCACTTTTTAAAGTTAACCAAATAACCGTTTTAAGTAAAGTCGAATAATCGTTTATTTACAGTGTGGGGTTATGCATATGCACATGCATTGAATGAACTGCAAGAAATGGAGGGTTAGTGAGAGGAACTCCCCAGAGTCATCATAAGCGCCGCACCTGTGGGATCTCATTACAACTGGCAATTCTGGCATCTCAAGGATGCAATTACAAGCATTGGGGACGGGTTAAACTGAAACCCAAGAGCGAGTGGTTCTGCGTCATTTCAAGTATGAGTGCTAGTGGTTTTGGAAGGAATGTGGGACCAGTCGGGCTGCATGATTATGACGAAAATCAAAATTGTCAATTATTTTCTGTTGACATTGTGATTGAAGTATAATTGATTGATGGTTTAATTCGATTTACACCATTCACTGTTATCAAATTCTGGGTTCCACACAATTCCTTCATGTTGTCCCGATCGAATCCATTAAGTTAACTCAATCATTTTTAACAAAATTAAACATGAACGTTTTAACAAACTTAAGTGGATTAAATATTAAAATTTTAAAATAATACTTCAGATACTGTGTTAAGTATTACAAAAAGTATTAAAAAAATATTTAATGATGTCCCAACACAAGTATATTAAGTTATATTAATTGTTTTATGTTCAATCATCTTAAATTGGTAAAAACAACAAGGTTAATGTAATGGATTTGTGTTGGCACAACATGAAAAAGCTAAACAGATTCTGAGATATTTTTTTGGACTGACAATTTTTTTTAATGCTTAATACAGAACCAGAAGGGTTTTTCTTCCAATTGTTTTATGTTCAATGCACCAAAATTAGTAAAAGTCATTAAGTTGCTCCAAAAAATCCTCCTGAATTGTGTTGTTTCTGCTCATTTTATATAAGTATTTTTTCTTCATGTCATCCCAACACAAATCCATTACATTAAGGTCATCGTTTTTACCAATTTAAGTGGATTAAACATACAAAAATTAAGTTGACCTAATGGATTTGTGTTGGGATGACATGAAGAAAAAGCTACTTATTTAAAATGAGTTGAAACAACACAATTCTCAAG